CGTGGGAGTGACCGAATCCAGACCCCAAGAGCCAGAGCTGCAACGTGGCTCCCCGCTGGTCACGAATTATGCGGCCCCTTGGCCGCCAGCCCAGCCCGATTGTGTTGCCCCAGCAAAATATTCCCRCTGGATGAATGAAGGCAGCGGAGGGAGATCCCAGCCTTTGGCTCGCAGCGAGTTTCCCACGTATTCCCCGGACAAAAGCAGTGCCCCGCGTCGCCGCGGCGGCTCTTTGTGCGTTCCCAGCAGGAAGCGCCGTCTTGTCACACGGATTCCACTCAGCACCGCTGCAGCTCGGGGCGCCGAGGGGACCTCCCTCCAGGGAGACCCCGCTCGGTGGCTGTGCCGTCTCGTCCTGCCCYGAGGAAGCGGCGCGCGGCTCCGTGCCCACCTCGTCGTTGCTGATGGGCACCGAGGGGTGCAGCAGGTTGCCGATCTCGCGCAGGCTCTCGAAGCGCTCCGCCTCCAGCCTGGCGCGCTCCGCGTCGCACTTGAGGATGGCTTCGTCGATGAGCAGCCGGACCTTCTTGATCTGGGACACCTGGAGGGCCTGGGGAYGAGGGGAAGCGAAGAAAACCCGAGCTGAGCGCGCTTAATGACAGCCTCTCACCCRACTGCCACGGGCTCTGGAGCGAAACCGTGAACTGAACACAGCAAACAACAGGGAAGGAGGACAAAGCGCCGACATCAGCGGGGCACTGAAAGGCTCTGAGGTAGCTGAGGCTCCGCACGGCGCCCGGCGGCAGCGGGGGGAGCAGGCGGCTCCCACGGCAGCCAAAGCCGTCGGGCTCCAGCCTCATTAGGCGTCTCGGCTGGCGAACCGGGAAGGGGAACCGGCTTTTGGAGGATACGCAATTACTCAGGCTGGTCAAATCCCCAAGGAATCGCGGCACAAACYCGGGGCCAAGGAACTCACTGCCACGCACCAAGGCTAAAGGAAAGACTAAGTGAGTTGGGCCTGTTTAATATGTATAAGTACCTGAAGGGGGACGTMGGGAGGAAGGGACCAAGCTCTTCTCAGTGGAGGCCAGTGACAGGACAAGGGGCAGTGAGTATAAGTTGAAACTCAGGCAGTTCCATCTCCATGTGAGGAAGAACTTGTGCACTGTGAGGGTGCCCGAGCCCTGGCACAGGCTGCCATAGGAGGCTGGGGAGTCTCCTTCTCTGGAGATCTTCAAAACCCACCTGGGTGTCCCCTGTGCCCTGTGCTCTGGGTGTCCCTGCTGGAGCAGGGGGATTGGACTAGACGATCSCTAGAGGTCCCTTCCAACCTTAATGATTTTGAGATTCTGTGTAAAGCAGTTTTCGGATGAATAGCACTGAGCAAGGTCTGATTACAGCTGGCTCCGGACTGGGAGAAATAATCTCTCCCAGTGTGGGGTTTCAGGCTGTCATTTGTCACTTAGTGTTGAGGCTTTCAAATGTCCCAGGCTGCCAACTGGGRCAATTACAGCTGCAGCTCTGGTCAAGCTGGCCGGGTTGGTGGCACCTGGAGGCTCAGACGGAGCCGGACTCACCCCTAAGACATCGGCCGTGAGCTCGTCGAGGTTCTGTGCGCTCTCTGGTACTGACTCGTCCGTTCCCACTGGCTCTTTTTTCTGCAGTGAGAGGGAAAAAAAATATCTGGATCAAGAYGAAGAAAACAGGTTAAAAACGTTCCTAAATAGCAAGGAGAGGTGCAGAGATCCCCAGCAGAGGTTTTGGGGAAACACCCGCAGTTGTTAACGCCACACTGGAGCTGAACCCCCCGCCAGGGCCGTCTGCCCGCGCGGAGGCGGCTCCACCGCACCCGGCGTCTCGGGAGCCCCCGCGAGCGACGCCCTCATCTCCCAGGTCTGCTGGGGAGGCAGCTCGGAGCCTCCCGGGGATGGGCAGCGGCTCCCGGCATGGAGGCCGCTCCCGGCTCCGAGTGCAGCTCGTCCCTACCTTCATTTTGTCTCCGATGGTCTTGCTGCAAAGGTTCTTCAGTTTGTTCAAGTTGTCAGCACGAAACCTGCCTAGAAGGAGCAGCAGAGCGAGCCGTGAGCGGCAGCACGAGCGGGAGAGCCCGGGATGTTCATGGGGGGCRTGTCGGGGGCACGTCTGGGACTCAGGGCAGCCGCACACGGAGCAGGGGGGCTCCCACACGGAGCTTTCCCTAAAACCCCAGCGGGRACCTCACACAGGGAGAGGGGGACGAGACCACGGCCCGTGCAGCGGCAGCCGGGCTGTGCAGACTGGGGCTGCGGGCAGGAGCGGTCACAGCAAGGCYGTCCCCATCGCCGTCCCCGCGCGCGGGGCACAACCCGAGGGGCTGAGGCCCCGCGGGCTCCCCGGGTGCGGGGCAGCATTGCGGCCGGGATTGCGGCCGGCATTGCGTCAGCCGCGCTCGGGCGGGATGAGAGGCGCTGCAGCCGCCGCCGCGCTGCCGGTACCGGTGCCGGGGAAACAGCCGCGTCCTCCAGGCCGGGCCGGGCTCCGTCCCACGAGCGCGGCCGAGCCAAAAGCGCCTTCAAAGGCGCCGTTCATCCCCCCGCACCCCGGGGGCTGCGGCGGGGGGCTGCCCCGGGCCGGGGCGCCGGGCTCCGCTCCCGGCCCTTTGGATCGTCCCGCGGCAAGGGGGCAGCGGCGTGGAGCCCACGGAGCGTCACGGGGTCCCCGCGCGTGGGGCGACGAGGGGTCCCCGGAGCCCCCCTGCCCGGGGGGACACTGAGGAGGGGGCTCAGCCCGGGGCGAGGGGCCCCCGGGCGGCGGCCTCCCCAGGGCGGGGGGACTCGGGGGGACACGGGGGACACGAGGGGACACGAGGGGACACGGGGGGGCTCCCCCGCCGCCGCCTCACGTACACCGCCGCCAGGCGCCGTCCGCGCGCACCAGCGCGTCCACGAGCGCCGGGTCCTTGAAGCGCTTCCGCTGCGCCTCGCGCAGCGCCGCGGGGTCGCCGCCCTTGTCGGCGCGGAACAGGTCCAGGTCCAGCACCATGGCGGCGGCACC